TCACCCAACTTTCCACTGGTCCTCCGTGGCAGGTCGAGGGAACAGCCAGTGGCCCAGATTCAGAGAAGGAGCAGAAAGTGACGGTTTCAACCCAGGTGGGCTCAGTTCTGCTATTGCCGGCTTCCCCTGACATCGTTTATTTAACCTCGGAGGAGTATGCTCTCTTTTCTGTGAACAGGGAAAGACTGCCTGTCCACTGTCACCAGTATGGTCCGACCCCTGGAGGAACTGGGGCAGTGGGGTGGGGTGGGGGTGAGGTGGGGGTGGAGTGGGGTGAAGGAGCTGACAGTGCTTGGCTCCCAGGGCTTGCTCTGTCAGAGGTAGGCTGAGGGAGAGCGGAGTTCTGCCCTTGGGGCCCTACTGACCCCTATCTAAGCAACAGATAGAAGACAGAAATTATACACCCAATTGACCAGTCCTATCTACGCCCCTCTCTCTCCAAATGGGAAAACTGAGGCTTGGAGCTGGAAAGAAACAGTATGTCCCTAGCAGATGCCAGAATTCGAGGGGGCTGGGTGAGGTGGTGACCACTTACAGCCGTAGGCAGCAGGATAGAGAGTAAGTTCTACCAGAGCAACACATTGAGTCGGGGAGCAGCCTGATCGTACAAGAACCAAAAACCAAATAACGTCACAAATAAACAACAGAATTAAACTGGAAGCCTCATCTTTTGCTCAAATTCCTGCATCCCTACCCCCACCCCCAACCCATAGCCTGAGGTAGGAAAGGGAACACCCACAGCGGGACCCTATCCCTTCCCCACCCTGTTTCAGGCTCTATTGTCTTCCTCACTCACCTGAGCCCCAGGTGTTCAAAGCACTTTGGAAGGCTGGGCCTGGAGTCTAGGAATCCTGTCTTCTCTTTGGTATTTGGAATTTGAGTGAGTGGTGATTCCACTCCGAGCCCCCAGCAGATTTCACATCAGGCCCCCTTGAATCAAACCCTGAGGCAGGCCATGGCACTGTCTAGGGGCATCCTGCTTAACAGGCATGCACTGGGGAGCAGGTGATGTGGGAGCCCTCAAGGGGCCTCTGGGATTGTGGGGTGTGTGTGTGTGGGGGTGACTCTCACCTTGTACTGTAATTCATTCTCTATGGGAATATCTAGCCCAGATACGCAGCCCTAAGTGATCTGTGTCGTGTCAGGAAAGTGGGCCTCACATTGCTGGGTGGAAAGCTCCGCCTTTTTATATAGATGCTAGTGTGACCCTATGTGCGCGTCCATTGTCCTTACGGGTGACCTGATAATACGAGCACTGCTGTACGACTTCATTGTGTCAATGTGACTGTCTTCTAAGGCTGTGGAAAAACATGCAAAACCCTGAGTGCACGTGGTTGGTATTGGGAAACCGTGCAGCACAGAGCAAATTGAATGTGTAGACTTTGAATGCTGCCGTGCGTGGAGCTTGCCAATGGCTGAGAATGTCTATTTGTGAAAATTAGTATATCTATATGCATGTTGTCTGGTGGATTTTTTTGTCCTGTATGTGTGTGGGAGGTTGGGGGAAGGTGTGTATATGTGGTTGCGGGGGGAAGGCTGGTGTCATTGTTGGTTTTGAGACTGGCTTTCAGTGTTGCCAATCTGACTTATAAATTTCTCTAAATAAACTTTGCTATTTAAAAATTTGCAAATAAGCCAGGTAAACAATCTCAGCATTCGGGAGGCAGAGGCAGATATCTTGCAGATCTCTGTGAACTCGAGACCAGCCTGGTTTACAGAGTGTGTGCTGGGATAGACTCCAAAGCTACACAGAGAAACCTTGTCTCGAAAAGCAAAACGAAACAAAACCCACCAAAACAAACAAACAAACAAACAAACAAACAAACAAACACAAACAAAAAAACTTACAAATAAAGAAAAACAGCACACACAAAAATAACCAGACTCGGGCTGGAGAAATGGCTCAGCGGTTAAGAGCACTGATTGCTCTTCCAGAAGACCCGGGTTCAATTCCCAGCACCCACATGGCAGCTCACAACTGTCTGAAAATCCAGTTCCAGGGGACCTGACACCTTCACACCAATACACATAAAATAAAAGATAAATAAATCATAAAAAAGGCATTAATGTTTTTTTAAAAAAGTAAAAAAATAACCAGACTCAACATCTGTACAACTCAATGGACTTCCATACAGTCAGAACAAACATTTGGAACAGAAAACTGGGACACTTCACATTAAATTTTACACTTGCAGCATCAAATTTATTTTATGCCCTTATCCACCACCAAAATCAAAATAAGCCATGGCAGAATTAGAACTAGAAAAGCAGCCAGCTTTCTCTCATCCCTCCTAACTGGTGCCCAGAACCAGACATTTCAGGGAACTCCTTGGCCAACTCAACTCTTCTGCTTCAGCCTCATAAGTTAGCTCAGAATGCTTGCTTGCACCACTGCCCAACTGGTAAGGTGGGGTTTTCCAGAGCTTATGTTGTGAATATAACACGAAGGAACTTGTAAAAAAGATACAAAGTGAAACAGGGTGTTAAGGTGACTCCTGCCTGAAATCGCAGAACTTGGTGAGGCAGGATGACCAGGCTAGCTACACCCGACTGTTTTTTAATTAATTAGTTAATTAATTAAAATAAAAGAAGTGCTTGTGGTCTGGTAAGATGGCTCAGTGGGCAAAGGTACTTGTCACCAAGGCTGAGTTTAATCTCAAGGATCTATTTACTGGAAAGGAGAAAACTGACTCCCAAAAGCTGTGTTCTGACCTCTCCACATGTACACTGTAGCACCCCTGTGCTCTCCACAGATAGATGTAATTAAAGATTTCTTGGAACTGTTGAAAACGTGTGCACCGCTGCATCCAGTGTTTAGAGGTATGTGCCTCAGATAAAACTATGGGCTTTTTGTACCCCCAGTAGCCAAACTGGAAGCCCTTATGTTCAACCTACTCAGCGGGTGACAGGCATCCCGTTTTAAAAAAAAAATTCTAGGAACACGTGAATCTTGTAATACTGTACACACGTCATGTCATTGTATTACTAAGGAGAATGCGACCTGTAAGTACACGCGGAGGTTGGTGTGTGCCAGCGAAGGGGCAAGACTGTATTATAGACCTATTATAGAGCTCTGGGTGAAGACCGCTGGGGTCAGGACTATGCTGAGTTGGGGATCCAGGCCGTTCTCGTGGAGTTATTGCTCCCACCCAGATTCCCTCATTCAGAGAGTGCCTCCCGGTCTGCAAGGCACAGGACCCCGCGGAACAGCTTCGGAACCGGCGCCCTCCCGGCGAGCCTCCTCAGGCTCCCGGCTCAGCCCAATCCTAGCGTTTGCTGGCGCCAGGCGCCGGCCAGCGCGGCGGGTTTCCAGCTCGCCTGGGGCAGAAAAGAGGGGACTCAGGACCTCCTCCACCGCTGCCCACACCTCCTGCACAGTCGGGGCCCACAGCCCCGCCAGCTCCCACAGGTGGAACCTTGGCGCTCAGACCGACCCCAGCGACTGTCTGAGCTACCATCCATGCCCTGAAGCAAACGAATTCTCACAGAAGTCCACGTTTACACAGACACGCAGAATCTCAATACGCACGCGCTCCTAGGATTTTACACATGGTCTGTCATCCGCTGGCTCCACGGCCTGGTCCACATTCGTTTTCATTTACCCACTAGCTATTGGGCCTCACATTCCCCGTCTGCGCACTGGGGCCTTTCTTCCTCGGTCCCTGATGGGCCTCAATTAGCAACTTTTGCGTGGCTGGATTAAAAGCGAATTAAAAAGAAATTGACATAATCTCATTTCCGCCTTAACTCACACTTGAAAGATGGGCACATTTTCCGCAACCCACCTAGAAGCAAGAGCAGAAAGGTGGGTGAGATTGAAAGGGTCCTAGGGACAGGGACCTTAGTGGAAAGAAGATTCAGAGCCCCAGACTTGAAGTCTGGTCTCCCAGGTTATTATTAACTCTTGGAAAGCCATCTCTTTGTAGAATCCCAACTTGGAGACGTGCCCTAGGCCGGAGGGGAGCCGCACAAGGCTATATATCTAGACCATGCCTCAGCCGGGTGGGTGTGAAGTGATCGTGGCCGAGGCTGGTTTCTCCGTGGATATCAGGGATATGGGGGTGGGGGGCTGGTTTCCCACCGTGTCAGCTTCAGTGGAGGTATCTTTATAGGATCAAATATTCTCATGCGGGTGGCGAGCCGGATGGAGTAAGAAGCCTAGCAGTTACCGGCTTCCAGCAATATGTGTGAATCTTACGAAGATACAGGGGCGTTCGGCCACAGAGATGCCTTAGGGCCAAGGCGCCGCCAGGCTGCCTGGCCACCAGCTCAGCTCGGCCTGCGGGCGTTTACACCGAATCAGGCGCCTGAGAGGCGAGAGGAGCCGAGCTCAGCCAATGCCTCCACCCCCAACCCCTGAGCCCGGAACAAATCGGTCAGTGCCCAAGTACTGGAAGCCCTCTCCCTTTCCCGCCTACTTCCACCTCGGCCTCTGGAAGGCTTCCCTGGGAGTCAGCAGCTGGGCGAGAACTGGACCACTGAGAACCACCCTGTGCGGCAGTAGCTCCAGGTTCAGCCTGAAGCAGGGGACCTAAGGGTAGGGCTGGAGGTGTTAGAACCTAGCCTACTTCCCTGCTGCGCCCGGTGGCCTTCAGGCTCCCACGATGAGCAGCGTCCTTAGAGTTCGGGTTCGGGAAGGCTGGACATCCTATTCTGAATTTCAGGCCAAAAAACAAGAGCCAGTTTTGCTCTGGTCTTCAGTTCCTATCTGTGAAATCAAGTGTGTTTGTGTGGGTGTGTGAGTGGGTGGGTGGTTGCCTGGGTGGGTAGTGTGGTGTGTGTGTGTGTGTGTACGTGCGTGTGTGAGTGTGTTGTTGAGGCTCTATTTTCAGGGGATGGTTCTAGAATCCTTTCCTTGGATCCATGAGGAAAGGGTGATAGCTTCAGTACAGGGCGTGAGCAGGCCTCGCCTCAAGTTCGTAGCCCCCGCCCTCCCAGGAGGGGAACTAAGAGAGGGGAGGGTCATAGGCGGGGCCGGTTCTCAGTCCCCGTGGTCAGCCTAAAATCGTGTGGCGCTTGCTGAGCATAAAACTTGGGACCGCCACCCCCTTTCCTCCTCCTTCCATTGGCTCCAGCTGGAGGTTGACATCAAAGCCGAGACCTTAAATAAGCAGGATCTTGATGGCAAGTCCGCAGAAGGGTTAAACGGGTCTTTGGAAATCTGTACCCACTCCCTCTCTACCTACAGAAACCCTGAAGAAGACAGCAGGTCCCGCGTGTCATCCCCAGCTTTGCTCAGGACTCCTCCAAAGCCCAGTCAGTTCGCGGCCCGGGAGCCCACGGGTGGCCCAGTTCTGTGGGGCGCATGGGGCGGCGCTAATTGGGCTGGCGGCGCAGGCCAGGAGCCTCTCCAACATGAACCTCGTGGGTAGCTACGCACACCATCACCACCATCACCACCCACACCCGGCGCACCCCATGCTCCACGAACCCTTCCTCTTTGGTCCGGCCTCCCGCTGCCACCAGGAGCGGCCTTACTTCCAGAGCTGGCTGCTGAGCCCCGCTGATGCTGCCCCAGATTTCTCTGCCGGCGGGCCACCACCGACCACCGCAGTAGCGGCGGCTGCCTATGGTCCCGACGCCAGGCCGGGTCAGAGCCCAGGTCGGCTGGAGGCGCTTGGAGGCCGCCTGCCCAGGCGAAAAGGCTCAGGACCCAAGAAGGAGCGGAGGCGCACAGAGAGCATTAACAGCGCATTCGCGGAGCTGCGTGAGTGCATCCCCAATGTGCCCGCAGATACCAAGCTCTCCAAGATCAAGACTCTGCGCCTGGCCACCAGCTACATCGCCTACTTGATGGATGTGCTGGCCAAGGATGCACAAGCGGGTGACCCCGAGGCCTTCAAGGCTGAACTCAAAAAGGCGGATGGCGGCCGGGAGAGCAAGCGGAAAAGGGAGCTGGTGAGTCCCGGGGCTTGTAAACTCCAGCTAAAGGTGCGGGATGGGTTTAGAGCAGGCCTGCAAACAGCCAGTGGAAAAGCTGTGTTATTCTGGGTGCGGTTTTGAAAGGCTAGGGAGATTCTGAGACCTTAACAGTCTGTCATTATGTGCACGGAGGGGAGGTAGAGTCACGATTAAATTCAGTCATAACTGAGTGAGCACAGAATCTTGGTTTTAAAATGTGATCCTAGGGTCTTCTTTGAGGATGAATTAAAAAACCTTGAGGCTCCCCAAAAGGTGAACATGTAATAGATTTTGTTTTAAATTTGAAGTTCTGAGGCTTCCTTCCATTGGCTCTCCGGGAAGCCAGGTTAAGAATGAAAGTAGGAAATGACGTAAATGCTGTACTCACGTATGAAATTCTCCAAAATAATTTTTAAAGTAAAAAAAAGGAATGGAAGTAGGGATTCCTTACTTTAGTTTGCTTGAGAATGAGTGTCTGAGCGTGGAATCACTTACCGTTTTCCACGGGGTTTACTGGAGAGGCTAATCTACCTCTCTCATTGTACTAATTGGAGAAACAGAGGCTCGCTGGAGGAATCAGAGGGAGAATCAGGACAAAAAACACCATTTTTTCAACGCTGGGTTCAGTCTGCTCCACCGGCTGCCTGAGTGGTGGGTTAGGCAGGGTTATGCAAGAAACTGGAGGGGCTTTGGTCTTTGAGCAAGCCGAGCCAGCCTTTCTTCACCAGTTTGGGTGATCTTCCTCCTCAGGGCGGTGGGACTTCTGGCTACCCGAGTTCCTTCAGTTTGGTAGACTCAGGCCCATGCATATCCGAGTGGACTGGGGAGCTCCGCAGGCTTTTATCTCATCCCCTAGGGCCTGTGGCAAAGTAGGGATAGCTTACCTGGAACCACCGGAAAGAGACTTCCAGCCTCAGCTGCTTGGGGCCTGGGCTGCTTGGAGATGCGGGCCGGGCTGGCGGGAAGAGCACCTTGTTGGAAGCAAGGGCCGACCCTGACCCGGGTAGGGCACTGCCTCTTGCAAGTAGCACCACCCTAGGTTCCTGCAAGGAGAGCTGGGCAGGACTGCGGAGGCCAGGCCAGTTTTCCTCCCTGCAAAGTGAGGGAGGCACCCAGAACTGGTACTAGCACCCAACTGTGCATCCCAGTCGAGATACTGAAAACCTGGAAGGAGTTCCACACCAAGTGGATTACCATTCTCACCCTTCCGCACCAGTCCCCTGAGATGTTTGCTCTCTCTGCCCCCAAGACACCTTAAAGCCAAAACCGTGGGAGTCAGTTTCCCCAGATTTGGCGAATTCTCGGTAGCAAACCTCTCAAAGTTGTTCAGACCATCTCGGATCTCAGGAACTTAGAGCATAAAGGCAGATTTATGATCCTGGTTGTCTGTTTCACAAACAGACATCTGTCACTTATTTAAAGATGCCCCCTTGCTGCTCCCGACGTATTTCCCCTCCAAGCTGGGGAGATCGAACTAAGTAACTTAAACCTGACTTTTTTGCGTTTTTGTTTGTTTGTTTGTTCGTATCCTTTGGCAGCCTCAGCACGAAGGCTTTCCTCCTGCCCTGGGGCCAGGCGAGAAGAGGATTAAAGGGCGCACCGGCTGGCCTCAGCAAGTCTGGGCGCTGGAGCTAAATCAGTGAGACCCGGCCGGCGCCGAGGACCCGGCTGCGGCTGGCCCACCTGGCCACCGGGAGAGAAGGACGTAGCGGCCAAGGCCGGCCTCCGGGATCCCGCAGTTTGCACGCGCGCCTCGCCCAGTCTCTGCGGAGCTCCGGTGGGTCGGCGGCTGCAACTACCCACTAGGATCGCACGTGCAATGTCATTTGAATTTGTTGATACAGTAAGAGAAAGAGAAATTTATATATATGTTCACTTCCCGCCAAGGGCGGCTCTTGGAGGCTCGACACAAGAAAGGAGGAACTGCAGAAACCCAAGCGCCCAAAGAGACGCACCCTTCCAACCCGTCTGGGTGGAACTCAACCCCAAAGGCCGCGCTGGCGCCTCTCTCTGGCTCGCTCACTGGTCTCCTTCTGGGCTCTGCGTCAGTAACCCGGACGCCTTCTTCTCGAGTTAAAATGCAATAAGAGTAATCGGTAGTTTCCTGCCAGGAAGAGGGACGCTGCCTGGGTCGTTCTCTTCGGAACAGTGCTTTTCCTTTTTGTCGCCGCACTTCCTATCTAGAGGGAAGGCACTGCTTCCCTCCGTAGCACCTCTGCTTTCCAAGGGAAATGTTTTTCTTCCTTTTCCTTCCCTCCCTTTCCTTTTCTTTCCCCTTCCTTTCTCCATCCTCGTCCCCTTACCCCTTCTTTCCTTTCCTTCTTTCTCCTTCCTTCCTTCCCTTCCAAGTAAAAGCTTTCCCTTCGTTACCGAATTTTTGACATATTTAAACTACCTATCGTACCTGTTGCTCTCAGGTATATATCTCCCTAACCCCACCCTCTTTCTACCTCAAATCCGTGTGACCACTCGCAGCCCCATCCTTCGCCAAAGCAATATCTATGCTCTTGACTTAATAAAAAGTTTTTCGAGAACCTCGTAGGCCTGTGTGGTATTGCTGCCAGCATCCTTCTCTGGTCACTCCTTCCCGGGGTCTCTGGTGCCAGCGCTCGCCCTTTCCCCCTCTTAGATAAATACCGAACCAAACTGCAGATCAAATTCAGAAAGAGGCCGGCAAAGAATGGAAGGAAGAGTGAAGCTAGAGTCTAGAGCAAGCTAGAAATGGGAGGAAGACAGAGAAATAAGTCAGATAAAAGGACTTACTTGGTTGAGAAGTCCTAGTCCAGCTTGCACATGGGTGTGTGGATTGAACTTTTGGGAAGGTATAAAGAGTGCTGCCATACTAAGGAGCCCCTCCTCCGTGCTGGGGAGTGCTGAGCTCCCCGGTGTCTAGCTCCTCTGAGAACCACTCCTGTAGAGCCTGGGACCGTCCTTAGCCCCAACTTCAAGCAGTGCAGGCAATAAGGACTCTCTCCTATGTAACCGCTGTTTTATTCATAAATAACCTCGTGCTAATGGTTAAATTGAGGCTTCTCTCTTACAACAGAACACTTAACAAATCCTTTTGAGAGCATGTGTGCTGTATGATTCCTGTGCACGTGTGGCCGCAGCCCGGCTCTGCGTCCCCACATCCGCATCCACAGCTGGTGCATTTGCCTGGGGTGAGTATGCAGCTAAACTGGGGTGCACTAAGGCAGGCATCTCCGCGTGCAAGCAATCGATTTCCTGCGTGTGAACGCTGCTGAGGACTTGCTGTCTGGGAACAGCCCCCAGGCCCACCGGCTCGAACGCAGTTCTGCGCGTGCTCAGGCCTTGTCTCGCTCCTGCAGCGGACCAGGCGGGAAGGGCGCTCCCGGCCTTTGGCTGTAGTTGGGACCGAAGACGGAGATCCTGGGCGGACTCCTCCTCCGGGCATCGGGGTGAATATGGGACCCCATTAGTTTCGGCTGTAAACACCGTGACAGGGGCTGCGAGGCCACGCGGGCCGTTCCGGACGCGAAGGAGTTAATAAAAGGTGTTTTATGGGCGCTAGGAAACGGCGGGGGAGGTGTGAGCTTCTCCCTGCCCGCGCCCCGGTCCTTTCTTCTTCTTTCCCTCTGCCACCCGCCGCCAGATCAAACAGGCCCGCGCTTTAACTAGACCAACACCTCAGCGTAATGAGCCGGCTGGCGCGCCCCTCCCCCGGCCTCCGAGGCCCCTCGGGGACACGCAGAAAGGAAACCCGAGGCTGGTTATGGTTTTCTTTCTCTTTTGGAAATCCTGGCATGCATGAAGAAATGGACCAAGAGAGTAAACCTTCCTTAGTCTCGAACCCAGGACTCCAGTTCTTCAACTCTGACTATCCTTAGGGGTCCGGTTCCCATTTCTATTTTTAACAGGGTAAAGCATCCTAAGCTCGGGAAGAATGTGCACCCGTGTCCTCTTTCCTTACAGCCCTGGGATGGAGAGGGTACCTCGCCTGGGTACCTTCTTAGCGCAGTCTGCACAGTCAGGCCTCTTTTAGGACAGCTCTTTTTGGGCAGAGAGGGGTAGATCCCTAAATGTAGCCTCAGTTGCTAGTGATCTCATTCCCACACCCTGCAAGTGGGGGTCAGTGTTCATCAACGACACAATCTTGAGACTGACTCGGGGTTCTGCAAGTCTTAAACATAAACCTCCCCTGGCCCGTGGGAGGGTCTAGTGAAAGAGTGAGAAAAGGGGCTGCCTCAGTCTGGAGTCCAGCTCTGTCCAGGGCGGCTACAGGCTCTCCCCGTTTCCGACTCTTTCCAGCCTCCCACCTTGGTAACCATCTTCAGATCCTGAACCTCCCCATCCATTGTCAGCTCACTTCAAACCGGTGATGGCAGAAGCCGTGCTGTTACCATTATTTTTATTAAAATATATTATCTCTCAAAAATACGTATTTAAACAACTCAAAAATAAGCACTAGGAATATATCATTAAGAAATAGGGATTTCAGGCTTTAACTACAGAAGCAGTGGACCAGAGAATACAAAACAGCAAAAGACCCCAGGCAGGCTAATTAGAGACTTCCCTAAAGAAGCAAATCACGGTTGTGGTCATGTAGCCCTTAGAACAAAAATTGTGAATATATTAAGAAATGCCTCTCCAGACAACTAAATATTGCCCAGATGACCCTTTCATGTAAAAAAAAAAAAGTCATTCATGGAAAAAAATACACCAGGCACCAAGACATTTATATCCCTACTTTTGTTGTTTTGTTTTTTGAGACCAGGCTGGCCTCAAACTCATAGCAATCCTCCTGCTTCAGCCTCCCAAATACTAGGATTATAGACAGAGTCAACAGACCCTGCTTTTGTACACTTTTACCTCTGACCTATGGAAACAAAGACAATTAAAAAAAAACCTCCTCTTACTTTGCTGTATTTTTAAAACTTTTTTTTTTGTTACCATGAATAAATACTACTTTTAATGTAAAGCTGCAACCTCTACTCGCTTCGGCTAAGCCTAACACACACTTTGAGTGCCTACCATGCGGAGCCTGGTAAGGTACTTATAAACATAATGAATTATGAATAGGAGACGATCCAAATAAAGATCAGAAATCAACATTAACGTAGCCCAGCAAATGAGTCTTGAAAGAGTTACAGCTCCCACAATGAATACAGATTTTCCTCCATTTATAAAGGACAGCTAAAATTCACAAGGCAGGCCTCTTCAAAGCCTAGTGCTCACTACCTCACAGAAGCCTGGCTTGTACCACCACCACCACTACCACCACCACCCGGAGAGCTCACTTTAAGGCAGTCCTGAGCTCAGAGGGGTTTCGTTCAAGGTCACACAGACAATAAAAGGCCTTTGGGCTGGAACCAGAGTGAATAGAGGTCCAGCTTTCCCTTAGACCTTGTAATGCCTCGCCTCCCCGGTGTGTGCCTGTGCTTGCACACTTGTGTGTGAGTGTGTATATGTATGCATTTACATATGCCAGCCAAATTCAGTTTATTTCATCTGACTTCCCCTGAAATAAGGTAGAGAAGAGAAGAAGGAAGGGGTTATGCCTGCAAAGGGGGCTGGAATTCCGACCTCCTCCCAGAGCTCTCTCTGCTGGAGGAAGAGAGCCGCTCACACTTCTAGGATCTGTCCTCCTGGAGGAAGCCTTCTGATTCTAGGAACCTCCTTTCCAGCCTTCGGTGAAGCAGCTACTCCGTTCCTTTGCACGGAATCCTCGATTTCTTAAAAGTTCTCCCATTTCTTAAAATAGAAACAGAAAACAAAACAAAAACAAAACCAGTATTCATTATTAGCGCGTGTGTCTGGGAGTGTGCAGGCGTGTGCCATGGCTTGAGTGTGGCAGTCAGAGGACGTCTGTGCAGCATCACTTTTCTCTTTCCACCTTTACTGGCTTCCTGGGAACAGACCTAGGTGGCCAACGGGAGTCTGCAGTGCCTTCTCACTGCTCCACTGATTCCACCTCTTTGACCACAGTGTCCTCCCCAAAGCCTAGAAGGGAGCCCAGGCAAGAACGAGGTTCCTGTGGGGACAGATGCTGTGATCTCACAGGTCACAGGGCCCTGGGGCCAGGGGAAAGAGCTATAGGAACGGAGGGGGGCAGCTGTGCCTGCTTGAGGCTCAGGGTTCTTTTGGAAAAGTCAAGAACACCTTGCTTCCACAAAAACCACAGTGAAGCCATGACCTAACTAAATCCTCATAAAAGAAGTGAAACTTAAAAAAAAAAAAAAGAAAAGAAAAAAAGAAATCAGCTAGCCTCATTTTTAAATGAAAAGTGGCTAGGGAGAAAAAAAATATGCATGCTCTAAAGTGTCTGAAGCCAACTCTTGATTTTAACCCAATTTGTTTGGGTGAAAAAAAAAACTTTTTTTTTTCAGCTGAGAGGTTTTACAGCTGAGCTCTCCCAACCCCATAAAAAACACAGTTTATGTGGGAAATTGTGAAAGACTCTTAACTCTAATACACATCGTCTAATGTAAGCAGACGCAGGCACTATATAAAGCTCCTGCAGATGTTATTAAAACCAACAGAAATGCACATTTATCCCCACAGAATGGACAGGGTGAGGCATCGGACCTTAGCCCAGAAGCCCACATCCACTGTGCAGCTAGGGCTCTAGGCCTTGCCACCGCTGAGGCCCTGAGCCCGCACTCAGTCCACACAGCTTCTTCGTTCCACAGGAGGGGGACGCCACAGAGGGAGAGGAGGAGGAGCTTGCTCAAGTTCACCTGCAGAGTCGCCTCTGTTTACTCTCCGCTTCAATTCCTAAGGTAGGGATCAAGTCCACCATCCGCCCCTGTGGTGTGGGGTGTGTGGGTGTGTGGGTGTGTGTTGCTGGGGGCACCCCTCCGGGCAGAACCCAGAAGCTCCCACGTGCCGGGAAAGTGCTCTACCGCGGGACCAGCCCCCAGCAGCCCAGCTGAACCTCATTTTTCTTATCTCCGATGGAGAAGAGTCACCGAAAGCTTTGGGCTGGTGGGGTCCTGTTAGCATGGACTAGATAAGGAGAGTGGAACATTAGCCGCTCTCTGCACTGAGCTGTTTTCATTATTTGATTGAACCTGCCCGCAGCCTGGTTAATTGGGTTTGTTCCCTTACTTTGGAAAAACACAGACTTACTTCTAGCAGGCTTGTGTTTCATCAACTTGCCCAAGGGCACATGGTCAGAGAGTGAGTGCCAGGGTGGAAGATGATATACTCCATTTGATGAAGGTAAATGGAGGTTCATAGAGGGTAAATGGAGCCTCCGTAAGGTTATAGCATTTGAGTAGAGTAAATTGTTTAAGAAAGCACTGTATAATAGAAACTCTATGCAAACCACAATTGAAAATTGTAGTTATGGGGGCTGGCTAGAGAGATGGCTCAGTAGTTAAGAGCATTGATGGTTCTTCCGAAGGACCTAGGTTCAATTCCCAGCTCCCACATGGCAGCTCACAACTGTCTATAACTTCAGTTCCAAGGAATTGGACACCCTCACACAGACACACATGGAGGCAAAACACCAATGCACATTAAAGAGATGTAGCTACATTGAAAATACAAAGACATAGGTTGGCCGGAAGGC